TATGGATTCATCCCCACTAAAATCTATACCTTTCCCAATATGATAGTGAGTGGCACTGCATACTAAAGATCATTTTAAAATTCAACAAATTCAAACCATTACATTTTTCTGTAAAATCATTCCACAGCTGAAGGCTAGATTCGCAGTATAATCTGTATACACTCCTGGTAATAAACAGATAGGTTTTTTTTGTTTCTTTGTTTGTTTGTTCTCGAGACAGGGTTTTTCTGTGTAGCTTTGTAGACCAGACTGGCCTCTGCCTCCTGAGTGCTGGGATTAAAGGAGTGTGCCACCATCACTCAGCAACAGATAGTACTTTTAAAACATAATAATGATGAAAGCAACTGAGCTAGAAACTCTCCTCACTCCTAGGTCCAAGCCTACTCATGCTTCTGAGCGCTTTCAGCATTAGTGAGGCGCTCTATACAGTGAGTTTAGTAGAAGCCATTATGGTTGGGGACTCGGATCAAAACAAAAGACTTAATACCATAAGGCAGCAGTGGGGAATCACATGTTTACATTACAATTCATAACAGTAGCAAAATTACAGTCATGAAGTGGCAAGTTGAGGAGTCACCACAACTTGAAGAGCTGTATTAAAGAGTCCCTGCATTAAGAAGGTTGAGAATGACTGCCAAAGGGAAAAGAGATCACATGGAAAGGGCTGACTTGACAGAAATTACAATCACAGCTTAATTCATTTATTAGACTTATAACTCTGGATAGGTTGCATAGCAGAGGATACAGGGCAGCATAGACAGGAAGACATGGGGAAGCTAGAAGGAAAGGAGGTAGACAAAAGGCTAGCTTTGATAATAATTACAGATACAGAAACTGCCAAGGACATTAACTACATACCAACTACATGGAGGGTTGTAAAGCCTTCATATGTAGAACTGGTGAGTAGAGAAGAACCATTCTTTTATGAGGGTGCTCTGGTGGGTGACCCACACCCACGTACATATGGGCAGTAATAATTGGACTTGGTGGATTACCAACAACCAAAAAGGATAACATGAGGTTGGGAGGGGAACATGTTGGGAGGATATAGGAAAAACTGGAGGTAGGAAATTGAGTATGGATATTATATTTCAAGAGTGAAGTAAAAGCACAATAAAGGAAAGTAAAAAAGTATTGTCTGAAATAAAACTTTTAGAGTCACCTTCCAGTACTTCAAGTAAACCAAAAATTTATCCGCCATTTAAATTCCCGCAAAATCAATGCAAGAATTCATTCTACTGGCTGCAAAAGGAACTCGCTATTGTGAAAGAACTTTTACTACATTTTAAGATTATTCTGCTAAAAATGTACACTTAATTCTTGCTTTTGCCTACCAAACAATGTTAAGCAGTAAATTATGTCACAAATTTACAACGGTAACTTCCTGACCCCAGACTAATCATGTCTTGAGTTTAGACAGATACTGGGCTGCATATTTCTTGAGATTTGCTAGCTATAGATTTGTGGATTTGGTCAACAGTGTTCATATTACCTCACCCTTCATTGCAAGCCAATTCCTGTACCCCCACCCCACACCATCACCATGAGAATGCCAATCCTACCTATCATGGCCCTGCCACATGTCTTCAGGGGAGGGGAGATGAATGCTTTTGATGCAACAAATATAGGAGAACTAGTTAGTTTAACCAATAGAATTCATCTGAAGCTTAGTCCAAGCAGAAATGATCAAATTTATTCTCATATGTCAAATCCTTATATTTATAGTATTTCCAATAGAACAAAAATGAAAACAAAATGCAAATTCAACTTCCATATTCCAAGCAATTTTAGTATGCTTACTACTGCAACTAAATTTTATATTTATAGAGGTTTAATTCCATTTACATTTTGTAAATAATGAAACATTGAAAAAATAAAAGGGATTTCTGAGAAAGTCATGTGATCAAAACTACAAAGTACTCAAAGACAAGTATAACCAAGATACTGGCATTAAATGATGATAAGCTTTTCCTTTATAGTTTAAAGAGGGGACTAAAGAGCAACAATGAAAACAACTGGTATATGCTTCATAGTTTTCCCTGGCCTATTTAATGGGGCTCAACTATAATGTGATATGAATTTTCAGTTACCTGCTAAACATGCCTTCAGTTAAAACTGATTAATGGTAACCAGCCTAGTCACTAATGATATAGGAGCTTTGAGTGACTGAATGCATGCTTGCCCAAATGGTCCAGAAGTTGAAACAATACAGGGACATTATTGGTATCTGGTGAATAAGAGGATGCATCAAAAATAGAGGCAGTGAAACATGTAGTGGAGCCACCTACTGGAGGTTATTATATTAGCATCCATTCCATCATCTTATTAGTAAAAATGAAATGCATTTACAGAGCATCATTACTTAAAGGAAAATCACAAAACATAGCAAAAAATAAATTTAAAAAATCCCAAGTCAATTAACGCCCCCCCAACTTAGCCCTTCCCCGTTGAAAGCATGAAGACAAGCTGGATTTAGCACTTCTTAGTAAGTCATGCTGCTATGCTGCCGTTACGGCACAATGGTACAGAGAAGGGAAATGGTGTATTAGTTTACCCCGAAGGATTATTCTGGCACAGGGTCAGGTAGCAGATGGCGATGGTCTGGGCAGTATAGCAGTAAGGCAAAGGGAAGAAGCAAACACTAGAAAGAATTCACTCATCTTCTGAATGACTCAGCCTCAGAATGGCCATGCTAACTGGTCAAACATAGTCTAGAATAAATCAGGCAATTAGGGTGCAAGAGAATCTACATCCAGAATTATAGGCAAACACTTACCACCTAGAAGGAAAGTTTATTTTTAAAATGAATCCAGAGGGAAAGATAAGAAAAAGACATTTTCACATGGTTAGCACTTATGATAGCAACTATATGTCCCATAGATTTATAACAGTATACATTGTATAACAAAGAAAATTATTACACAAAACCTAAATACTAGACAACCCTAAGTATATAGTACATACTTTTACACAATTAACTAAGGCTGAGAACTAATTACCACCAAAAACCACGGTCCAGCAAATGATTCAGAGAGATTTACTGTAATTACAATTTCCCCTTTTCTATCAGTAACATGCTACTTTAGGCAACTAACTGTCTACATTTAGGACAACTAAAGGCAACTTTAGAATATCCTTGCATCCCAGGTGTCAAAGGAATTGTAATGATTTGTTTGCTTGCTCCCTTCCTTCTGTTTAGCGGAGTACCTCTATGGTACTCTGGCTGACCTCAAGCTCTCAATTCTCAATACTTACTTTCCCAAGTTCTGGGATTCCAAGAGTGTGCCACTGGGCCCAATGCATGATGCTTTATTGGATCCCCTCAAGAGGTCTGCAGCTGGGATTAGGACAGATGATCCTGCCCTCATAATTCTGCAACTTGGTTACAGATACAAGGAGGTCCACAAAAATGTCATAGCCACACTTCCTACTTTATTTCAAATTATTATGAGCAGGAAGATGTATGTATGCTTACCCAAAAGTATTATTAAAGCATTATGAGCTTTTAAAAAAAGTAATCCAGGATTTAATAGAAATAAGTCTCCCAATTGTAGCATTACATGAGAACCTCGGCATCTTCAACAATAATGAAATATTAGTACATTTTCCCATTATCAGATATTTCTTAATCAAAATGCACAGCTATTTTATGTTAATGGGACTTCAAAATCATCCAATGGGAAGAGGTTTCTTTATGCTGGGAATCATGAATATGTCAGTGTTATATGGGCAATCTAGGTAATGAAAGTATGAAGCAAAGGGAAGAGGGACAGGAGGTACCTATCATCACATAACTCAAAGAATGATATTGTAAATGCACATCTTGTCTGGCCATAGGAAGGGAGCGGACAGTCCACAGCTTAAGTCCAAAACTTAAAAGGTTCTCACTTAGGGAACTGTAATATGTTCATTTCCATGTGATGAGTTACATCCTATCATCCAAGAAGGATCCATCAAAGTTCTAGACTCTTAAGTGTGCATGATTTCTGGACACCTGTTGCAGTCTCCAATCTACCAAATTACTCTAAATTATCCTTCAAAAACGGTAAAACAGGGAACTTCCGGGTACTTTTAGATATGTTATAATGATATAAGCAGTATGATCTATTACTCAGTGTCCCCTCACTTGGCTGCTGGGGAAACCCTTTCTCTACTCTAGTCCTCTGGTAACAGCTAATTCAATGTAAAGGTCCCCCACAGAGCTCCACACTAACTTCTTCAGAGAGGAGTTCTATAGTATCAAGAGAACTGGGTAATCTTTTGGGATAATGGAATAGATAGCTGGCAAATAGTAGCTGTGACTGTTATATTCAATTACATAGAAATTTGGGTTTTTTTCTTCAAAATATATGGACCTAGAACCTTATTCCAAATAAATATAGATTAGTTTATATCTACATAAAATATTCTCATTTCCCAAATGCAAGGTTGATAACTAAAATGAGAAAAAATCTTATTTCTATTATAGTAATAGTTTATAATTATAAATTCACATGCATATCTTATATTTTAAACAGAAGCTGAGATAGTTTTGGCTTTGTTTTGATATTTTAACTAGTTAACAAAACAGGTGAGTTGAAGAATTAAGAAAAGACTGAATTGCTATACCCAATAAAACTTAAAGTGGAAATTTTAGTTCTAACTTATATCGTCTTTTCAATAGTGTACATCAACCACATGACTACCTAGTCAAAAGAAAACAAAACAAAACCCGAAATAAGTAAAGCCTCTGCCTGCCATCTGGTGGAGAAAGATGATACAGAATGCACACACTGAAACCATACCAGACACCTGCAAAACACAGTTTGCGTTTAAAATCACTCTCTGTGCTAGCATGTGGAATGAAAGGGATATTTCTTTTTTGGAAAATTTATATTTATCTACATATTATGGGAGTGCTCTAGAGAAAAAGGATGGGAACTGACAAAAATATATTTGAACACAAAGGCAAGCTCATAGCACTGCAGAGTCTATGAGACAGCATCACAACATACACTTACATGGCCATGCAGATCTGTGTTGAGGAGCATCATAGCACAGGTGAGGCAATGCACTCCATCTGCAAAAACAGGGACTACTGTTAACTGTTAGCATAACATGTAAAAAGCTGCACTAGACACAACTTTGTAATGAACTCCATCTACAAAATCAGAGACTACTGTTAATGATGCATACAAAAAGATGTACTAGACATAACTAACTTTGTTTGGAAGGCAGAAAATGGATGAGATAAACTGTAAGGACTTCCAAAGACAACTGAACTCTTCTATTGATAAGTAAACTAGTACCTCCTCTCTGAAGGGCAATTTAGTATTACATGTTCAAAGCCTTGAAGCTGTGTCATTTAACACGGCAACTCTTCTATGGCTTTACACTAAGGAAAAATCTAAGGATCTACATAAATACAAGAATACAGAGACGAAAATTGCTTACAATGAGAGAAAAATATAACCCTCCAAAAACCAAAGTTTATAATGTTGAAGACGTTAGGAATGTTGTACAGGAACAGAGGCTGAAGTGAAAGATACTTGATAATCAGTTATAAGAGGAACATTGTATGTGTAGTATGATTCTATTGAATATAAATATTTCTAGAAGAATACATCCAAACACAAAGATATCTCTGAACATGAAACATTTATTTTTTATTTATATTTTCTCAATTTTTTGTAACATGTTATCAAAGTGAAGATTAATAGATATAGATAATAATAGATACAGATAATAATATACATATATACAGATAATATAATAATAATAGACATAGATACAGATAATTATAGATAGTTTGCAACATTCTTTAAAGGCTACATTTAGATTGCATTTTTTCTAGGATGTTATAAATAAAGCTAAAAGTAAAAATTGAGATAATCTGAGAGGATTAAAAATTAAGTATTCAAGAAAATGCAGTCAAAGCCTGAAATAACACTCCCTACTTCAATGGGCCTATCACTTCATCTTTATACAGTAACATAAAAAGTATGCAGAGCTAAACATCGAACCTTCAAATATCAGAGTTAGCCTTTCTCTTTACTAATTCTTTCTTTCTTTCTTTCTTTCTTTCTTTGTTTATTTATTTATTTATTTGGGAGGGTTTTCAAGACAGGGTTTCTCTGTGTAGTTTCAGAGCCTTTCCTGGCACTCGATCTGTAGCCCAGGCTGGCCTCAAACTCACAGAGATCCACCTGCCTCTGCCTCCCGAGTACCAGGATTAAAGGCGTGTGCCACCACCACCTGTCATCTCTTTACTAATTCTTAATCCCAATGTAGCACATAATAGTTTTAGAGGAAGCAAAAACCTTACTTATTTGTGTCAAATGCACAGGAAAGACAGTTTATTTTCAAAAGCACATCTTCTAGTTTAGTGGGTGGTTTCTCTTACGTCATTTGTATGCCTCACAGCAAATTTCTAGTTCCATTTGATCATCACACATCCAAAAGCAATCCCTAGAACTATTGTAAAAGTCAGCAGCCAACACTCAAACACCCTTCTCAAGAGTGTGTGTACACATCCCACATGCCCTGCTCTATCAAGCATGGTGAGATCCTCAGACTTTCACGTGGAATGGAAACAACTCTCCTCCTTGTGGCCTCCCTAGATGGTGCCGATCCAGTGATACAACTGGTAATAGGTCCAAACAGCGCCAGTTTACACACATGAGTGTGATATTGATGATCAAATGCTGAATCAACTAGCCACGCCCCTAGGAGGCAGGGTGAGCAAGGGCTTTGCTTACTATCAAGTCTCTGTTCAGTGATAATTACTACTTGCTGTCCTAGTAACTTATTCCGAGGGTTGATAAATTTGTGAGAAACTTCCCATTTAAAAGTGATTATGTTTGACTTAAAAACTTGAAATTGTGCGTCACTGCCATACTTTAAATGGACATACTCTCCTTATGAGTAGGTCAATAGTCAAATTGTTAAATATTGCCTTATTAAAACAATACCACAAACAAACACATAGCTCATTAAGGTCAGAAGTGAAAGGCAGCTTTTAAAGACTTTAATTACTATTAAACAAAAGCACCAGAGATTCAACAAAGCTTCCATAGAGATACATAAATATGCAAAAAAAATCACTGAGCTAAGCACACAAGGATTTGAGAAGTAGAGTGACCAGGACTGTAAGGAGAATGAAGCAAACAAATAATGTACTACTTTGCACATAAAATCCCAGACTGGCAAAGCTAAGCATAGAAAGACAATATAAATGAAGTACAACGACATATTATGAATTGTTAAAAAGAATAAAATAATTAAGAGAACAAAATATCATGTTATTAAATATTCCTTAAAAAGATTATGACATGAGAAACTAGAATAAAAGGGAAGGATAGGAAATGAAACTAATGATTTCAAATTGGATTTAAATAAGCTAGAAGGAAGTAAATTAAATATAACTTTTCTACTAAGGGAAATAACCACAGTCATAAAAAAATTACAAGCTTTCCATTAGATTACCTTGTGAGGTGATAGTGTCTGGATTGCAATAAAAGTATCTATTGGAGAAATGTATTAATACTCTCTCACGCTCCTGGGTTTCTCCCACAAGAGAAAAGGCTTTAAAGAAATACCTGAGGAAGAATAATAAATGAGGGAAATGTTTAAGAAGTTTATCACATTTTTTAATATCTGACAGTTAGCTTGCAGAAATGTAAGGGATTAATTATACAGAAATATCCTACTCCCTAAAATATTCACTAGAAGGTTACTCAATATAAGCAAACTGATATTTAAATTCTATAAAATGTGGGCAGGACAAATGGCTCAGCAGGACCTGAATCCATATTTCATGTGAAAAGTCAGGTTTTGTAGCATGTATCTATAACCTCAGAATTCCTACAGAGAGATAAGAGTTGGAGACTTGAGAATTGTCAGATGTTCACAGGCCAGTAAACCTGGAGAACTCAGTATAGCAGCAGAAACAAAGGCCTGCCCCCAAAGAAAAATGGAAGGTAGGGACTGTAAAAGTTTTCCTCTAACTTCCATGTTTGCTACACCATATGCAATCCCCCCAAATATTTACATCCTATCTGTATGTGTGTGCATGCACACACCACAACTGTGTACACACACACACACACACACACACACACACACGGGGCGGGGAGAAAGAGAGAAAAGAAAGGAAAAATAAACCTCTAGAAAATGTGTCACAGTAAGAACAGAAAGGCCAATACACTAAGAAAGCCTGAGAAAGGCAGGCGATTTCCAATTGTGACTGTCAAAAGGTAGGTGTTAAAAGATCAATCACATTAAAAAGAAACATTTGTGACTCACTTGTACAATCATACCAGCTGTGTGTTAAAACCCACATATCAGGATTCTTTAGCCATGTAATCTCCACGTTTGCTCCTAAAGTGTCAGGTGAACTACTTCACACACAGAAGACTTGGGTTAACTTATTTTGCCTGGGAAATATGACCTTAAGTTGTTCCTTATATCAAGCAATATGTTACATATAACATCATTTAAACTTTTCTTAGACGTCTTACTATCGTAGAGTACATGAAATAAACCTGATTTTCTCCCAGTACTCGGGAGTTAGAGGCAGGCGGATCTCTGTGAGTTCGAGGCTGGGCTGGACCGACAGCCTGCAAAACAATACAGAGAAACCCTGTCTCGTTAAAAAACCAAAAAAAAAAAAAACCCTTGATTTTCATAGGAATTCTGCTTTCTTTCTTACTTGAGATTGTACTTGATCATCGTAAAGCACACTGATGACCATTTCTTTATAACTTTTGAAATAAACATATAACAGCATAAAGATATAACTCACTCCTTTACTATGAGATGTTTTCATTAGGTAACGACAGCGTGCGAGCATCAAGGAGCTACTCTGGCATAACCATCCTCACTTCACCTCCAAGGGTTTTGTTTTTCTGACTTGCAAAATTAAGGGATTATACTAGATGGTCAGAACTCTCTCAGGCTCACATGTTTTAAAGGTAGTTCATAGGATGAAACTCTGACTAGATCTTATGTTCAGTTGCTCAAATATGAAAAAGGAGTGTGCCTTCACTAAAAAAAAAAAACAACTCACGAGATAGTAGACATTACAATCTATTTCACAGATACATCCTATAGATTATATTGGTTGAGCTATTTTTATTACATACAAGAGTTAATAACAAAATATAATCTGAAATGATTTTGGACTGGCTATTTAAACTAAATACTTAAGGGACAAATACCTCTAATTTCATAGTCAGTATTCTTTTTAACTGCCAAACTCCAAACTTCTTATTCAACAGAAATGAAAGCAGGGTCTCAAAGAGACATGTATGTACCCATGTTGACAGCAGAAGTAGTCACAAAAGATAAACTGTGACGGGAATCCAAGCAACTGTTGATGAATGAATGGGGATGAAAATGGTGTTATATCTACACAGTGGAGTATTACTCAGTTTAAGAAGGCAAAGAAATCCCGCGATAAATTACAACATACATAATCACTGAGGTCATCATGCCTAACAAGTCAAAACAAAACAAAACAAAACCTCCCAAATATTGCCAGACGTCAAGTATATGAAGTACTCAGCATAGCCAAAATAGTACTATCTAGGTAATAGTACAATTTTAGCTCCAAGAGGAACAGAATAAAATAGTGACTGACAGTTGTTCAGCTCCATGAATGTATTAGTGCCAGTGATGGTGCCCTTAAAAGGGTGGAGAAATTTAGTTGCACATATTTTACTATAATAGAAAAATTAGAAAGAAGCTCTCAGATTTCCCAGATTTGATTTCAGCTCACAATCTCCTATGCGACACAGACTCGTGTTTCCTGTTACATGTAGAATATCATTTCTTTCTTTCTTATTTTCTGTTTGGGGCCCAGAGTCTTATCTACCCTCACAAACGGAACTAGGGTGAGAAAAGGACTCACTGCTGTGGACTACCCTTCGGTGCGCTGTGAATATGTGTAGCTCTCATTGGTTAACAAAAGCTCATTTGGCCTATAGCAAGGCAGAATAAAGCCAGGGGGGAAAGCCAAATGGAGATACAGGGGAAAGGGGCAGAGAGATGAAAGCCAGCCACCAAATAAACAAGACCCCGGCAGAACCGGTAAAAGCCACAGCCACATGGCGGCAATATATAGATTACTAGAAATGGGCTAATTTAAATGTAAGAGCTAGTTAGTAGTAAGCTGGAACTGTAGGCCAAACAGTTTGTAATTAATAGTAGGCCGCAGAGTGATTTTGATTTAGAAGCAGCTACAGGATGGGGCGGGGCAGAGAAACCTCCCTTTAACAGAGCTCATTACTTCCTTGGCTGGGAAGTCGTGACTTGGCAGCAAAGACAAGATTATCCATCATACCTGAGAGACTGATCCAGCGTCATCCCTGTGAAATCAAAAAACTTCAGATACTCTTCTGCAACTAGTCTGCTAAATTCATTGCTGTAAGAAAACAGAGTAGATCTGTTTATTGAAATGACAACTATTCTACAAAGACAGAGTGGGGGGAAGGGAGGGAGGGAGGGAGGGAGGGAGGGAGGGAGGGAGGGAGGGAGGGAGGGAGAGAGGGAGGGAGGGAGGGAGAGGGAGAGAGGGAGGGAAACGAAACTGGAAAAAAAAGTCCAGACAGATACCAGCCTGAAGAACATACTTTTTGCCTAGATGTTTTGCAACATCTGATCGTTTGAATCTGTCTAGATGATACAAGCGTTTGGCCAGACGTTTAGCGGCTTCCACGTTGCTGTTAGTACCATTACTGAGACTTTCTGTGGTCTCTTTTTCCAGAATTTCGGTGCTCCCCATTTCAGAATGAGCATCTGGTCGCGTTTTCACCTCAGCATGCCTATGGCCTCCACTTGAAAAAAAAAAAAAAAAGAAAAGAAAATAGAAAACTTCTCTTATATAGCAAAAGAGAAATAATGGATGAAATTATAAAAACACCGTAAAACCAGCTATATAAAATTATTTTAAATAAAATAAATATTTCTATCCAAATATTTCACAAAAAGTTTGTCAGACATTACATTTCTAAACGATAAAAATAATGGGCTGAGCCAGTGGTTCTCAACCATCCTAATGCTGTGACCCTTTATACAGCTAGTTCGTCATGTGCTGGTGACTCCCAATCATAAAATTGTTTTCACTGCTACTTCATAACTGTAATTTCGCTACTTTTATGAATACTAAATATAAATATTTGTGTTTTCCAATGGTCTTAAGAGACCCCTGTGAAAGGGTCATATGATACCTCCAAAGACTCAACACCCACAGGCTGGAAATTACTGCCCTAAGGCCTAAATAAATAGTTTTGATTTTAGGACCTTATTATTTTCAAGTGCTGAAAACTCAAATAAGTTTGTTTAATGTCAATTTTACCTATGATATGTAATTTATATATTCAGAAATAATTACTTAATATATTACTTAATATATTTTTGCTAAAAACCAGATTCTCCAATATAAAATTAAGTGATTTACATTTTTCAACAGATTTCTGTTTAGATTTTAGAGGACAACAGGACTCTCAGAACCACCTGTTGACTAAACCTCTTAATTTATTGTTTTGATTGAAGTATTTTGAGAAAATCTCTCTTCATGCAGATATTTAAGTTCAAGATGTATATTTTAATACCCTTTTAACATAAATGCAGATATGCTTTATATATATATATAACATGAGAATAAGAAAAATCGTAACTTCTTAAACAGTTGTAATACAAAACTTGTTCCAATATGTTTTTGTACTCATACATGAAATTCAATCCTATATTTGTCTTTCCTATCCTATACCTCTAAATGAATCCTTTATCAATGTGTAATTTTCTACTGATACATTTTGTTCCTTTATAAGTACATGTAAACATGTCTCATCACACAATATAACAAAAATCCCTTTTATTAATGTCACCACCTTCCTCAGGAGTGTAGCTAAGTGCCAGGAAACTGCTAAAATTCAGGTGAGAAATGGTTTTCCAAAAATGCTTCAATATTTTATCTTTAATATTTTATTTACTCATTTATTTTTGAGGCATGGCTTTATTATGTAGTCCTGGATGCTCAGGAACATACTATATAGGCCAGACTGGACTCAAGTTCACAGAGATCCTCCTGTCCCTGTCTCCTGAGCTCTGGGGTTAAAGTAAAGGCATGTGCCATCTGGATGGGTTTCATTTACCAAAATGTCAGCTTTTAATAAGAATTTTAATAAGAATTTTAATTTAACAGCTGTCCAGTCACTTGTTTCCCTTAAACATCAACGCCTCCTCAACACACTTGATCATGGGAACTGGAAGCTGCTCTAAGGGGACTGAAAAGTGGGGAGCAGAGGCAAAGGCTATTATGTCAGATTGCCTTTACACCTATCTATGTGAAAATTCCATTCAGTGCAATGTCAACTTACATGTTCCCAGTAGAGACCCCAGGGTAAGTTCAGAGTACAAGTTGGAGGATGAGCAAACCCTCAGTAATTATTTTCACCTTCAAGTCAAATTACAAACCTCTGTCAACAGCAAACAATGAGCTAAAGAGAAATGGACCTACACAAACAAGGACGCATGGTAACCTTTCTTAAACAGTAAGTCACCTTCAGTTTCCAGCAGAAAATACCTACTGATATAATACTTCAGTCATTTCATTCTGAACCTACTTAGAAAGTTAAAACAGCCAATCATTGCGTGAAACTTAGTATTTAACTATAGCATATCTATGTTAAAAAAAACCTCACAGAAATTTCATATTAAGGAAAATTCATAGTGTTTACCACATCAGTAGTAGAAATGCAAACTAGTCCAAGAGTAATGCTGGCTATAATCACTTAAGTTACATATACACATACATACACAAACATATATATATATATGTAATATGTACTCACACATACAAACACACACACTTACATTTTCTTCCTAGAGTTGGTTCCCACAAGTTTTTCTACATAATAGTCTTTTTCTACACAATAGCTGTAATGCAGTAAAAACATATTCCAAAAAAATTCTTTACAAGCACACCATGAATTGCTATTAATTTCTCAGCATGCTTGTGGCTTTTTTACTAATCACTTCATACAATACTTCCTGCAATGAATTCTAACAACTTGATATGCTCAGACAGATTTTGTTCAAGTGTAATTATACATTTGAAAACAATCACAAATAAAACTCTAGGTTATTTTTCTCACAGTCTTCTATTCTCTTTCCCAACCTATCTGACTTCACTTTCTCTTCTTCATGGGGGCCACTGGGAGAGAAAGATGTAATTGTAAAATCTATGTACAGCAGACTTTTTGGGTCTTCTTTTAAAACAATAAATAACTTCAGTAAAAGGAGAAATGAGGAACAAAGTAAGGATAAACGCCTTCTTTCCTAGATGTCTTCAATCTGTCCTTTCTTCACAGCCTATGAGATTACTTACACCAAACAGAAAATGTTCCTTTTAAATCAGAAATCATCACAATGTGATGACAACTCAAACTCACCAGCAATAAAGTACGCACATTGTAAGACCCATGGCAACTGCTGAGACCTATCTGAGCCATACTTCTTATTGAAGAGCCTTCTCCTTCCCTTCTTCAATCTAACACATCTCTGCTCAGCTACCCAGCCTTCCAGGCATCTGACCCCCTGTGAGGTCACGTCACTATGACCTCACATTCTCAGCTGTTTACTTGTTGGGGTTTCTGTAATGCTTTTACAGCCCCAACAAGGCAGGAGCCAGAACACAGGGCCACTGTGTATGAAGAGAATAAAAAAACAAAGCAGCCCTGCCTTGCTCATACTTGATAAAGCAGACTGCATGAGCCCTCAAGGGAGATACCACCTCATTCTTTCCCCTCAATACACAAACCGGTGTCCCTCTGGCCTGTTCAATATTAGGTGTTTTCAGTGGTAAGGTATCTCCCTTTGTATAATTTCAGCCTCATTCCCTGCTTGTTATTGCAATCTCATAAAAGTGTCCCCTCCCCTGTATTCTAGGAAACGCTTAAATGAAGCCTTTATTTCCCACAGTCAAGTAACCATAGCAACTCTCAACAATCCAGATCAGATCATGGAGTCTGATCACTATGCCTTCCCAGAAGCCTTTCATCTTAACAGGTTGCTAGATTTCCCAAATGAAAGTGATGGAATGACTAGGTGTCTAACTTTCAGGTAAGTGCAAAACTGTTCTTCGTACGCATCTTTACTAAATACTGCAATAACACGCTCATTACTTGCCCATCAGGAACTGATGGACATTTATTAAATCAGTGAGGACATGTGTGTTGGAGGATAGCTAGCAGTAGCAGGTGATTAGAACACAGCATGAAAAACTGGGTCCGAGAGTCCCACTGTCCATGCCCAGCCCCTCCCCCAAGCTTTCCTATACATAAAATAGGCTCCCTTCTGCCCACGTTTTCTAAGACTCTTAAATGAACAGCCCATAGGCAGCACTCAGCTGAGTGTCAGGCCCACTGAGTGCTGAACCAGTGCTAGATGATAGCATGTGAGTAGTATTACTAGAGATGAGTGTTACTGTTAGAGGGGCATGGCAGTTCTGAGTGATTCGTTGTTTATGTTTCTGTGAAGACTGTATTCTGTGCTGTCTCTTCATGCCTGGGAAACAAATGCCATAAACAACCATGGCCAACAGAATATCATTTTCTTTCTCAGAGGCAGGTTACGGTTCATGATTTTGCATGTACTTCACAATGCCCTTAAAACTCATGTCGACTGACTTCCCTTCCTACCAAGAATATTACTTTCGAGTCTTGGTTTCAGGGTTCTGTGTCAATCTATCCTGTGAACCTGAAGATGTCAAAGGGGTCCTATTACAGCTAAAGTCATTGATAGCCACTGTTGGAGAGTTCTTCTGACTTACCTTTTCTAGGCAATGTATCTAAGGTGATGTCACTGTTTTAGTTAGTCATAATTAGAAAGTGTAAACCCCATGGCATTGCTGGTGACAAACTTTAGAATATAATGAAGGAGATTAACGAGTGGATTGCTCCAGATATTACATCTATTTGTTGAGTCATGTAACCTAGTCTTGTGATGTGAATGCAAAGAGGAATTGACAGCAGTAGCAAATGAGAAAGGCACAGGTTCTTAGAAAGCTCTTACTTCTCCAGGGCTCTGTAGGATCAGAGAGTTTGCAGAGCTTCCCATGGGCTGTGGGCATGAAGAGAGGGCAAAGGGAACAACATACAAAGGGTTTTTATGTGTGGTGCCTGGAATGTTTTAGTAAACAAAATACAACCAATGAATAAACACGAAAAATATATTATATATACTTGAAGGCAATATCTGGTAAAGTAATAAAAGAAACAAAAGAGAATGGAAATTCCAATTTGGGTTCCAGGTAAATATATTCATACAGAAAGTGGTCACTGGAAGCCTCTATGAAATGCAACATTTGCATTTTACCAGAAATGAAAAGCATTCTAGGCAGAGAAAACAACCAATTTAATGCCTAGATTCTGGAGCATGTGTGAGAACAAGCTAGACCAGTGTAGTTCCATCAAGATGAATGACGGAGAAGGTTAAAACACCAGTAAGGGTTACAGGAGTACTCCATAGATTGAAATTAAATGAATTAGCCTTGAGATGTCCAAGGAAGCATGTGGATACTGGAAATGTGAACCATTCAGGAAAGATAAGGGCGGGCCTCACTCCAGGTCTTGGCATTTCCCTTTTAAAACCCCAGATGATTCTTAGATGATTCTGGGTCACCACTCAGACCCATACGAAGCTATAGTGATCTAGCTTGTTTTTTCTCCTACCTCAGGGGCCTTTTCTCAGCCCACAATGCTTTTCATGTCTTGAAAAAGCATAACTGACTTCTCTTTAAAGTCTTACTCAAATGCTACCTCTTAAATGAGGC